GGGGGGGAGCCCGCGCAGCTCCGCGCCCCTGCGCGCAGCGTTAATTGGGAGCCGCTCCGCTCGCTCCCAGTCTAGACTGGCCCAGACACATCAATTAGAGGGGCTGGAGCTTTAAAGGGACAGAGGGAGGCTTGGAGGGAGCGGGGGCGCTGGCAGAGAGGGGAGTGGGGGACACCCCAAACGCCCCCACCCCCCCAAAAAAAAAATGAACACCCGCAATTGGCGGGGATTAAAATAAGGAGGGAGAGCGGATTCTGAATTCCGCGCTCCCCCCGCGCTGCTTTTCCAGTGGGAAAGGCGAGGTTCTTGCGGGAAGAAAAGCGGCTGGAATAGAATGCAGCCCCCCCCCCCTCCCACCCCCTTCCCTTTCCCAGCCTTCCAACTCCATAATTCCATGCACAGGGCAGGCAGGTTCAGGGGGATTCTCAGCTGAAGAAATGTCAGCGGTATTAAAGCTCAATTTCATTATAAATATCCAGCTGGAATAATTTCTTTTTATGCGAACGGGAATCAATCCAGAAAGATTCCTGCAGCGTTTTGTTTTTTTTTTTTACCTCCTGCAGACAAAAGGGGGGATGTTGCAGTTTGGATTTATTTTTGCGTTATACCTATAGCTCTAAGGCTTCTTTTCTCTTAGTGTTACATAGTTCCTCCAATAATTATTTCATCGGTCTCTGTAATTGTACTTTTTAACTGGAATAAAAGGAATCTGTGGACTAAAAGAGGTTTTTTAATCTTATGATGAAAATGGAAGAGCAAATAAATGTTAGGCATTAATTTAATCAATAAATAGAATGAGTAAGTCAGGCTTAGTAAGATTGAAGATCTTATTCAGCACTAAAATAAAAACCACCAGGCTGGGACTAATTTCAGTTAGAAGTATATGTCATATGCTACCATGATATTTAATATAACACATTCCCAAGTATTCTGTGCACTATGTGCTGCAAATAATTAAGAAGGAGAAAGATAAACAGATGAGACTTTTTTATATTTTTTAATAAAAGGGTTTTTATATTAAAAAATCCCTTAAATTTTGCAAAACTCTGGCATCCAGGAGTTATGTCTGAGCAGCAACTGTAGCTTGGTGACTTTGACCTCGTTGTAGCTGAGTTGGAACTTGCTTTCCCAAGTTGAAAGGCACGGCCTTTGGTGGCAGTAAAAGGTAAAAAAGGTCCGAGGCATTCTGCAGTTTTCCATTGTTGCTCTTTTATTTCAAGGGTTTTAACAGGACCTAAAGTTGCATAGTGCTGCAGCTGAAAAAAAAAATAATAAAAAAAGGAGAATACTTTTCTTGCCTTTCTTCCCTGAATCGTTTCCAAGGTACTTAAGGATTTATTGGGCCAGATACCAAATTACAGTTGAGATGCTGTGTAGTGGCTCGTGCTGATTAGATGATTGATTAATTTCTAATCGATTTCTAATTCTAAACTTGATTCCCATTATAAATGCTCGATATTAAAATGCAGTTTACGATGGAATCTGATTGCAGCCTCTTCACAGAGTCATATCAAACTCGATCAAAATGCCAGTTGAAAACACCATAATAGACCTATTTTTTTATCGAATTTGTTAACCCTTTAATTTCTCTGTAGCGAAGGATTTGGCCGTGCTGCTTCAGAGCAGTGAAATGCTTATTCACAGCACGTTTGGGCACAATCCCTGCAATAATAGAAGGCACTGTAATACCCCGAGCATTAACTCGGTGTTAATCTGCGCCTCCGAGCGCTGCCAAGTGATTTTGAGGATTTTTAATGGCCACTTTTCCTTTTCGTGCCACCCTCCCTGATTTTTTTTCAGTTCGCTTCTCCGGCGAGGGAGGTGGGAGGAGAGGCAGAGTTGAGGAGTTCAGGACGTGGGTTTCCCAAAGGTACAGTCGCAGCTCCTCACGAGGCTGGAGCTCGGAAGAGGAGCCTCTCCCTGCCAACTGTGCCGCATTCCTGCTGCCCTGCCTTTTTCCCAGGGCTCAGAAGGAAAGAGCATCCCAGTTCTTCTTCACTCTTGGGAACACACACATTGTTCCAATAATCCAGGCAATAAATGCTAATTAGTAATGCTTAAGGACCCTACCAGTCAGAGTAATTATCATAATTTACCTCTTCCTTGTTAAAAAACATTCCTTGCTGATTTTAAATTTTATTTTTTTTTTCTTTCCCCAAAGTGATGGTTTCTCCCTTTTTTTTTTTTGCTTCTGGAAAGCATTCCTGGTTGGATTAGCAAGAAGTATATGGGTCTGCTGTAGCTTTGAAACCCGCTTCGTGTATTTTATAGGGAACTGGAGCTAAAGATTTTCCCACACGTAAAAATCCATTTAAAACCTGATATATTTTTGCCTTTTCCTCCCCTCTCCGCTCCCCCTCTTCCCCAGCACCACCAAAAACCACTTGCAGAGGGAGAGAACAAAGGAAATCACTAACTATAAAGGCATCATTAAGTATGAAGAGCAACAGCAAGATAGAGTGTGTGATATGACAACATATTTTATTGCACAAAAGTAGAGATAATTAAATAATTCAGTGGTATTCTTAGCTAATTAGCACAAAGATCTTTCAGAAGCCATCAAGAAAATGGATCTCATCAAATCTAATAATATGCTACGTTTCCTGAAGATCCTGTATTTCCCAATGTTGCTGCTGCTTCCCCACCTGATACAGTAACACCAAAGGTTACAGAGAGTTGTACATTTAATTGGGCTGTTCCTCAAGAGAATATTTCCCATGTAAGGGGATCAGGTATTTAGAGGAAATGAATATGCAGAGCTGGAATTTTCAATATTAGTCGGTAGCAGAGAAAAAGCTCAGAGCTTCAGGAAAGGCAGATCTGTTAGAAGTGATCCATTTAAAAGACAGAATTATCAACCAGGAGCCTTTCTTGGGATGATTGTGATGGGGCTGAATCCTTGGGATTTGGAGCTGCTGAACGAATGCTGGGGTCCCAGATCTTTTTATAGGGTTAATTGAGGACCTGGATTGCCTGTTTTCACATTTGAGAAATGTGTGGCAGAGTCCAGGGAAGGTTTGGGACCTCTGGTTTCATGTGGGCTCTCATTTCAAGGCCAAAGCCTTGTCCCACTTGCCAGTGGGTCAAACTGGGAAGGGCTCCATTCCCACCAGTGGAGTTGTTTTAGGTCTTCAGTGGGACAGCTCCAACTCTGGTGCCATGCACATCTTTTTTTCTTCTGGGTTCATGAGTTTTTTAGCTGGAATGAGTGACTGATTATGTTCCTGAGCTCAATCCAGGTTGGCAATCTACAGATCCCACACAGGGGAACAGGGACAAGTACCTGCAGGGCATTGAAACTGCATCTGGAAAACTGTGAGGCACCTTCCCAGTAATGAGGTGCATCAAATATTACTCAGAATATCTCCTTGTATTATTCAGAATGTCTCATTATGCTCCTTTGATGTAAATGTATCCACAAGTTCACGAGGTGCGTTTGCAAACTCTAATTTACTGCCTCTGTGTTGGAAATATTTAGGGTTACTTTTTCCTCTGCCAAACAAAGGAATTTGTCTGAAAATTTGACCTTGCCAGTTAGTTAAAAATCTCCTGTTTTAAGCAAAATGCCAGCATGCTGCCTTACCCTTTAAATTATGGAAGGGGATGTGCATCAGTCTTAGATTCAGCACTAGTTGTTGCTTTTCTTCTGGCCCCAAACTGAACTTTGCTCCTGTGTTACAGTTTTGGTGCATTTGACTCCCTGGACTACCCAGACAAGTAAAGCTGTGGGGTAAGATGTTCCAGTTTGTGATTTTTTTTTGTTGTGCATGGAAGGGAGAACTTACAGGCTCACCCTAAAATTACAGTGTCCCAGAACATGGAAAGAGACTTCTCTCTGCTCAGAAAGAGGTGGAGACTCATTTATTCGAGGTAGATGGAAGGAATAGGAGGGGAAAAGGCACCTAAAAGTGGTTTGCCCAAGGAAGCACACTATTAGCAAAGCAGTAATTCATGTCTCCTGGTTTACAGGGCTCTATTTAATGGCATGTATTCTTCCTCTGTGGAACTTTCCTGCTTGGGAATAAGGTTAATAACCTGAATATGGCTCCTGATATGCCAGGAGACCCTCTCATGTACCCCAGATGTAACCATGAAAGACTATGTTATTTCTGTGAGCAAGTCATGCCTTTTTGCCCTTCTGTTTTTCTGTCATTCACCCAATGCTCTGGCAACTGTGTTTGATATGAGAGGGCATTAAAACCAATTAAAAGATGAAAGATGAGCCTCTGATTTACATGGTGACTGTGGAAGGCTGAGACTGCTGCAATTGTTTTTATTTAACAGCTCTTCCCACACTGCAGTCAGTGAATCTCTAATCTCCTGGACTGAAATGTCTGACACTTTCAGAATCATTTATTTGCTGGCTCTTGTATCTTGTGTTGTGCTCACAGAGCTCCACCCACAGCAGTGTCTCAGCAGTGGGCTGATGGTATATTGGATATAAATGTATGTTCTTTAAGGGGGTGGGGGGGATAAAAGGCTGAACATGGGCTTTGCTGTGCAATATGTGCCATCCTTTAAATAAGGGCTATCTGCAGCAGCAAGTGTTGGAGGATGGCTTGAGCTGCTGAGACACAAGGAGTAGATTAACCCTGGCAGAGTTTATTCCTTGCTGCTGACCCTCAACCAGCACCACTGATCACAACCTGGTGCTATTTGCTGTCGTGTTCCTCTGGAAGATGGACAGAAGGGATGCCCTTTGGTGTCCTGTGTGGCAAAGAGGAGGATAAGCTCAGTCAGCTCCTGAGAGAAGTCTCCAAACTGCTCCCTCTGGCTACTCCAAGAAGCTGAACCTCTGGCTTCTGTTCCCTGGGAGCTGTGTCTGGTGATCACAGGCCATTATACACTTCTCACTTGACTGCCCTGCTGGTAACTTCACTTTTGAGATGAATTATGCAAGAAATGCTGTGAAGCATCAGAAATGCTGAGGATTGAGAAGAGTCCTCCTGGTGCACGAACTCGTTTCTGAATCAAGTCCGAGACTCACCTGGATTCCAGCTCCTCCAGAAAGGACAAAAAAAGGGGGAAAAAGGATCAGAAATCAATCAGTGGACTTTGGTTTTGCTGTATTTGTATCATGTCTGAACCTGCAAAGAATATCCTTGGTTATTCCCAAGGAATCCAGTAAATGGTGACTCTGTCAATCAGTTACTTGCAGTGTGTTTGTCTCATTTGCTCACCTCCTTCTCCCCTTTCCACCAGGATTTCTAGAGCTCCTCATTCCCTGTGAGGAGAGGATGGAGTGGTTGGGACTGGGCTCTTCCTGGGGCTTGGAGGGAGTGGAAAAAAATGCCAGCTTGGGAAGAGGGTTGGTGGGCTCACGGAGCACCTCACACACAAAATTTGCCTCCAAATTTAATTGTGTTTTCACTCCAATAATACCTGCCAGGGAAAGCTGATTTTAAAGGTATCCTGCCTCTCACTGTTGATGGCCCAAATAGGCTAAAATCTCATGAAATCTGGATTTCTCTCTCCCATGTTTTGTAGATAATTTAGAAATGACATTCCAGCTTTTTAATTCCTGCTCTTCTTCATCCCCCTTTGCTCTTTTTCACGTGACCCAGCGTCCCACGTGTAGTTTTGGGGTGTAATGTGGATTTTGAAAGATGCTGCAACATAATTGAAACAGAAGGGAAGCCCTGGGTTTGAATTAGTGGTGTTCTGCTTGCTGTCTTTACGTCAGCATTCAGTTCCTTTTGGAATATATGAATAGGAAATTTAAAAATAGTGATCAAAACCCAGCAAAACCACGACATTTTGGTTCAATTGCCAAAAGGATTCAATAAGGAACCGAAGTCCCCAAATTCCTCAGGCAGCCAAATGTTTTTTTTTTCTTACAGTCATGGCATAAAAACTGGTATTAAGAAGGAAAATGAAATTGCTCCAGTTTTCTTTCCTCCCTGTCTATTTTAGGAACATTTTAGGAAGAGTTTTCCCCAAATTCCAGCCCCCCCAAAGCACAACCACTGTCTGTTGTACTTGCACAGAGGACATGGGGAGCTGGTGTGAATTCCCTGGGAGCTGGAGGCAGGGAAGAGGAGATTCCAGTGGCAGCCCCAGAGCTCCCAGCAGTTATTCCTCCTAAGGGATCTCTCCCAAGCCCAAACATGAAGCTGCTGTGGGACAGTGGGGGAGGTGTGTTTCCACATTTATCTTTTCAGTTGAGATAGAAAACCCAAGGTCTCCTCTGGTGTTCAGGGACAGATGTCCAGGGAGAAGTTTTGTTCCTTTGGCTCACACTGTGTGAAACCTTCCCTGCTTTTTTTTTTCCCCCACTCTTCCAAAAAAAAAATTTAAAAATATCCTATTTTTGGTTTCGATACCCCCCCCAAAAAAAGACAACAATGTTGTTGGAACCATCTCCTCACCTCCTAAATAAAGAGACAAAATATTCTGGGATGTGTTTGCTCCTTTCCAGGTTGGAATGTATGACTCTGTTGGAAAACAACACAGGGCTCACTGTTATAAAACATATGGAGCAATATCTGAGTGTGTTTTGTTCACATATGATGGTACCTCATTATTTAGTAATGCATCACTTCTACAGCAACTTCCATCTGTGGATCTCAAGGCACTTTCTGCAGAGGCCTGAATTAACTCCCACAAGTCCCTTGGTGAGGTGGGTATGGAAACATTCCTGGTCCTTGTTCACAGGAGGGGAAACCACAGGCAGAGAACCCTAATTTTCAAGATTTTTAACCTCTGTGTCCTCCTTTTCACACTTGGATTTTCCTGCTGACACAGAGTGAGACTGTCCCTTTTCAACCCAGCTACTGAAAATATATATCAAGCACAGTGGTATCAAATATAATCTGATTTGGAGGGTTTTTTTGTTTGTTTTTAATTAGTTTATTTTTTCCTCTGAGGCTTTGCTCAGCAGAAGGCCAGGGATGTGTTATTCTTGTGGGGTGGGGAGGTGCCTCAGCACCTCTGAAAAACCCACCCAGCCTAAAAGCACTGATTAGAAAGTTTGGCTCAGGCATTTTGCCTGAGATGGCAGGGCTGATAATTGGATTTCAGCTTTCTGAGCCTCCAGTCCATTACTGCAGCTATAAATCACAGGGCTGCAGCAATCACTCCTCTAATGCACCCTTCCTTTGGAGATGTTTCCTCCACGGCCCTTTTCCATCTGTGCCCGTGGAGACACCTCCAATGTAGGGAATACAGCAGTGGGGGGGTAAAGCTGTGCCTTCAGCAGCTCTTAGTGCACTTGTTGACTCCCACCCAGCATTACCTGTCCCCATGAAGCAGTTTGGGATGTTTGGAGTGTGCTCAGCGTGGCAGCTTGAGCAGCTTTTACTCCTGTAAAGATTTTTCTGTGTTAATTCAAGTCAGCCTGAAGAAGAAAAGTCACACAGAAAAGTTGCACAGGCAAATCTTTGCTTAATCAAGGCTTTAAACTTCTTGGAGATGCTCAGTTTGTTTTGACCTCAGGACTAAAGAGCTGCTTTTTAAAGCCCTGCTTTTTAAAGCTCTGCTTGTTAATTTTTATTTTTTTTTAAATAGATCAGGATAAACCCCTCAGTGACTCTGCACATATTCTCTGCTGTCATTAAATTCTACCTCACAGGGTAGACTGACAGCCAGCCCTTTCTTTAGATAAATATAACAACAAGATTAATCTGGGAGGAGCAATGGAGTGCCAGGGGACACCCCGGGTGAGTGGCAGCTGAGAAATAAAACCTGGGGTTTGCTGGGTGAGGCAGAGTTACCTTGATTTAAATCTTCCCTCCTGGTCCAGGATTGCCCAGCCCAGAGATCCTTGGAAGCTGCAAATGGGGGTTAATCAGGAGGGATGTTCCATGAGGGAACTTTTCTGAGTTTTGTACCAGCCTACCCCCTGTTTTTACATCCCATGAGCCAGAATATCCCTTCATATGGACTTCAGCCTGTCCCTGCTTGCTGCTAAAGCAGAAGACAAAGGTAACAGGATCAATTAATCCTTGTAATCTTCAGCATTGTTGGAGCCTCCATGGTTTTTTTTCTATAAACCCAAACATCTTTACTGCTGGCGGAGGTGCAAAAGTAAAGATGTTTAAAAGAATGAGCACATAAAGATGCTCTTTTCTCTTTTTCATGAGTTAATTTCTGAGCTTTGGCTTTTTCTCTACCTGCTGCCTTCAGAGCTTTGCCTCTTTCCTAAGAGCTGGGCTTGGCTTGATGCAAAAACCACACGTGCAATGGGAGAAATCCTTTCTCAAGCTGACCCGAATGTCATTGTCAAAATTGCACCAGGCATCATTTTGACCCAGAGACAGTAAGATCAGATGTTAAAGCACTGAACCAGGAGCTCATCAGCAGGAGGTCTCATTCCTGCTGAGATTAGTCAAGCCTGTTCTCCTAGACATTTTTTATCCATATCAAGAGGAAGTTTGGAACTCAATTTAATCTATTTCCCAGAAGCTGCTGATGCTTTCATGTAAAATGAGGAGTTTGTTGTCAAGACAGGAACAAATTTTTGGAGCCATCACAAGCCTTTCTGTGATTAGTGTACCAAAGACATGAACTAATTTGATATATGGTGGCCATAACAGTTAAAACTGTCTTTCCAAACACACATATCAAATTCCTTTCCTACCTTCACACACCCACAGCCCCTGTCCCGTGCTTAGGAACACAAGAAATGGAAAATTAGGCCACACCTGACCACTCAGTGTTCCTAAAGTGACCCAGCTGAGCAAACCAAAGAGATTACAACAAGCCTTTCATCTGCTGATGGTCTGATGGGATCCCTTTGTGTTGATTTTAGCACTTTCTCTTCTTGGCTGAATTAAAGAATCCACTGCACTGATGCCCAGCCTTTTATTGTTGTGCCATGTTATTCATGAATTATTCCAGTTTCATGGTTTTTTTGGTTTTGGCACAGTAACCTCTTCTAAAATATTTGTACAACAAAAGGCAGGAACACGGATTTTTCCACTTCCTGTCTGTCTGGAGCTGTGGATCCAAACACTTTCCAGCTCTGAGGATCCACCTGATGATTTATGAGAATGGGATGGTGTGAATCAAGAACTTGGCATCCATGTGTTCTAGGCAACTTCTAGTCCTGTTCCTGCTCCTCAGAAATTATCATTATTGACTCATCCCTAGAAAATGTAGGAACACCAGAATCCATGTCCTGAGTCCCCTCAAACTTAAAATTCGGATTTGGGGTTGATTTTTCCCACCAGTCAGTCTTTATTTCTTTCAGAAATAAGACCCAGTGAAGTGTTTTGAGAACTTAGTCCCACCTTTGATGTACCAAATCCTGTCACCTCCAGATCTGCACAACCCACTTGAAAAGAGCAGAGCACAGAGGGAACATCCTGCAGTATTATGGGATAAGGGAATTTTCCCCTGCCCCCCTCAGCAAAAATGGATCAGGCCATCTAATATTGCACAAACTGACATCTCTTTTCTAAAAATAGCTGTCTGAACATTCAGTCAATGGAGTAATCCAATTGCCTGAACATTCTTGGGTGCTTTATCATTTAAATTGTAATAAATCACAGTGTGCCACGAGCTGTATTGAGCTGCATCAAGTTACACTCCCACCAATAACATGCGGTGACCAGATGAAATCAGTGTGACACGATGGAATTGAGCTGAAAATTCAATGCATGCCCTGTTTTGTCTTAAAAAGTTGGCTTAAGACAGGCCTCAAAAATTAGGGGGATTTTCTAAAAATCACTGCCCCCGTCACATTTCCACTCACTATTTCTCCCCTTCATTTACTTTAAATAATGAGCACACAGGGCCTGCCCTCAAGTCCATTGAACTCTATTGAAAAATTGCTATTGATTCCAGGCTTTGGACTTGGTTGTTTGGGAGTTTTGCAGTAAAATATGGAAGGACCACTATTGTGCATGTTTTAGGACAGCTGAACTAACACACTAATGCTCCCAGGAATATGCTGCCACAAACTAATACCTACCATTGTTTGGAAAAAGTTCATTATATTTAGTTTTCCCCCACGGTTTCTTTCTTAAGTAAAAATAATGGGATAAAGTAATTTTAACTTTCCTAAGCAGCCCCTTATTTCTCGGAGCAATATTCCCCTGGACCACCTTAATGAATTCCCTCCTCTGCTGGGTTTTATACATGTTTCAGATATTTATACAAGATGTATGAACATAAAAGGATTATTCATAACATTATTGTTTCTAAA